CCCCCCCCCCCAGCATCTTCTCTTGTGATGCTAAGCATGTTTCTTCATCCTTCTTTGGCTCCTTGTTTCGACTTTTCCTTTTCCATGTCCTCCACTGACAACCCACTGTGTTCCAGTTTCATCTCGGCATGTTCATTTAGACTGAAGGTCCTCAGGTTTTGCTGTGAATGGGATCCCCCAGAGTGTCAGCTGAGGCATGGGTTCCTTAGACCGTCTCTTGAAGTGTGTAATTCAGTAGATCTTTCTAATGCGGGATCTGAGAGTTTTCATTTAGGATGAGTTCCCTTGTCGTGCTGAAGCTTCTTTTCCAGAGTCCACGGGGTTTTAATACCGACCACCCTGCATTAGCCTACTCTATCCTGTCTTATGTCACTTTGTCGACGGCTTCCTGGGCTTCCAGTATAGTTTCTCCCTCCTTAGAATTTGCCTGGTTTTGTTTTAGATTTTGGGTTTAGTAATATAGTCCAGGCTGACATCAAACTCACTATGTAGCCAAGGCTGACTTTGAACTCTTGGTCCTCCTGTCTCTACCTCCCTGGTGCTGGGATTGAGGGCATGTGCCACCATACCTTTCTTTATAAAGAAAGAAAATCATGGGCCCATGTGCCTGGCACTTGGGAACTACTGGTCTTGACTCAGCAAACGATAGAAGCTGTATTAGTTAATTTTATCATTGCTGAGACAAAATACCAGTCAAAAGCAGCTTGGCGGGGAGGCTGGTGTGAGGGCCATGGGTTGGGAGGATGTAGTCCTCCTCCTGCTGGCAGAAACATGAGGCAGCTGTCCATGCTGGGTCTGCAGTTAGGAAGCAGAGATGGATGCTGGTCCTCAGCTGAGTTCCTCCCCTTTCTCTTCCATCTGCAATCCCAGTTCACAGAACTGTGAGGCTCACATCCAGAGTGGGCTTCTCTTCCTCAATCAAAGCTTTCTGGAAACATCTTCATAAACACCCAGTGGTATATTTACGCAGTGATTCTAAATACATAACAATGGTGACAATGGTGTTAATGAAGAACAATAGGAAGTGTGATCGGGGTCAGACATGTGCACGTAGTCCTCGGGGTTTGCCGTGAACGAGTCACACAGTGCACGAGTCACCCAGGCGGGCCCTTTACATGCACCATTTTATAGCAGCCCTGAGAAAAAGGTTAGACCCCTTCTAGAATGACACCCTCTGCAGGCAGAGCAACTAAGGTACATGCTCAGTCAACCATCCACAGTTACAAGCCTCACTAAATGGCTGGGCTTAAATTCAAACTCAAGGCCACAACTCACTTCTTGGAGACCAGGCTTTCCTTTCTGTCTTATTTACAGTCAGTCTCTGAGGATCCAAGGTGCACTTCCTCAGGAAATTGACACCTTGTGACCAAATGCTCTGAACAAATGTCTTGACCCATGGCATGGTTCTCTGACAACCGGACTTGTTCACTTCCACAGCCCTAACAAATTCAGATGCTGGAGGTTCAAAGAACTAACCACAGCCCACTCTGAGGCATTGATGGGCGTCCCTGGCCCCACAAGTAAGAGCTCAGCTGCAAACTTGCCTTCTGGCCATGGGATAGAAGTCTATCGTGCTAAGGAAATGGCTGTGATGGTGACTTCAGAGTTCACAGGGAGGACAGAACATGAAGAACATGGCTCTCTGGGACAGTGGGGATGTATTTTCGGACAGGGAAAAGCCTGTATGGGACAGGAACCACCAAAAGTAGCCCAGGTTAAGAATCTTGTCTTTCTTTAAACGTCACCCTCCACACAGTCAAGAGTTCATAGCAATCTTCAAAACTTACTTTTCCTAGGTTTTGTTCCCCAATGCAGTGTGTGTGTGTGTGTGTGTGTGTGTGTGTATGAGAGAGAGAGAGAGAGAGAGACAGTATGTGTGTGTTTGTGTGTGTATGTGGTGTATATGTGGTGTGTGTGTGTGGTGTGTGTGTGTGTATGTGGTATGTGGTGTGTATGTGGTGTGTATGTGGTGTGTATGTGTGTGTGTATGTGTGGTGTGTGTGTATGTTTATGTGTGTGCACATTTCTATGTGCTGTGTTTGTGGTGTGTGTGTCTATGTGTATGTGTGTATGTGCATGTATATGTGTGTTTGTGGTGTGCGTGTCTATGTATATGTGTATATGTGCATGTATATGTGTGTTTGTGTGTGGTGTATTTGTGGTGTGTGTATGTGCATGTATGTGTGTGTGTTTGTGTGAGTGTGTGGTGCATTTGTGGGGTGTGTGTATATGCATATGTGTGTGGTGTATATGTGGGGTGTGTGTGTGTGTATGTGCCTGCACATGTATGCTCATGTGTTGTGTGTTTGTGGTATGCATGTGTCTATGATGTGTCTATGTGCATGCATTGTGTGTTTGAGTGGTGTGTTTGTGGTATGTGTCTGTATGCATGCGTGTGTGCTATATATGTGGCTTGTGTGTGTGTGTGTGTGTGTATGTATGTTTGGTGTCTATGGAGGCTAAAGTCATGTGACTCTCCTCAATCATTCTACCTTTACTGTTTGAGACAGGCTCTCTCATTAAACCTGGAGTACATTGGTTTGCTGGCTGCTCAACGACCTTCAGAATTTGCCTGTGTGCACTCCACCCAAGGCTGGGGTTGCAGTCACATGTATGCTACCAGGCCCAACTTTTTTCATGATTTCCAGGATCTGAACTCAGGCCCTCAGATTGTGTAGCAGTCATTTTACCAAGGCATTTCCTAGCTCCTTGCCTGTGAAGATCTAGTAGAAATCTGTCCGTGTATTGTGAGCCTTTGTTGGGAGAGAGGGGAAGGCACAACCCACTATTCAGGGTGGGTCTCCCCATCAATCAACCCAATCTAGAAACCTCGTCATAGACCTTGCCCAGAAGTCTGTTCTAGCTCCTGTCAAAGTGACAATCTGCATTAAGCATCATGATGGCCTGTCCCAGCAGTGGGGTTTTAGAGTGTACACTTCCTACTTACTAAATACAAGGTTTCCAGAAGACCACACATGCTGTGTCTCCCTCACAGCAGGCCACAGCCACACCCTCCCTTTCCTGCTCCACTGGATCTGACCTGCAATGGGCTCTTGATCCACGCTGCCATAAACACACTCTGACATTTAAACATGTAAGCTCTACACATTTACACCGCTCTGGAGACACGGTCCTCAGAGCATGCCCCTGTCCAAGACAGTCCATGGCTGTGCTTCTCTGGGTTTGTGCCTCTCCTGTTTTCCTGTGTGTATCCACATCTCTCTTTCTCCCTCTCTCCTCTCCTCACAAACCCTCCAAGTGTTCCCAGGGGATCCTCACTTGTAAATATTTGGAAAGGCTCAGGCTGTTGTTAGAACAAGTCTGGGATGGGGACTCCGCTCTGATATCCACAGAGACCTAATGTCCCGTCCCAGATGTTGGATGTCGTATGTCTAGGAAACAAAAAATGAAAGTCACCAGGGGACCAGCAATGACTGTAGATCACCCCCCACTCCACCCCACTTCTATTACACATTAAACCCAGACAGACTCCCAGGAGTGGGAATCTGTGTGGATGGTGCTAGAACCTTTCACTACTAGAGGGTGCAGGACCCTGTCACCACTGAAGAGCTTCCCGAAGCAGCACCCACCACAGTCTCAGGATCTTGGCAGCTAGAGAATGGTCCCCGACCCCGACCCCCGGCCCCTGCTTGAGAAGGCTCAGAGCCCCTCATTGTGCCCAGGACCATCTGTTCCTTGTGCTGTAGAGCACAGGTGTCCTAGAAAAATGGCCACCATTCTTCAGCACATCTACCGTGTCAGCTTGCAAGCGTCCTTCTGGATCCTGCTTGTTGGCTGCTGCCGCTCTCTTCCAAGAGCAAGTGCGTGGGAAGGGTCATTGGGTTTTAGCTGGAGATTTCAACCACTTCTCCAAGCCGTTTGTGTGCAGTTCAGCCCTAGTTGTCCAAAGCAAAACCATCATCTGTGCTGGGTGAAGACTTTCCTGTGCAGCTGTTTTAGGGTCACCCCTGCTCCTGTTGAGAACCCCTCACCGATGCTCTATAAGTAAGCTCCACAGTAAGTCAGTGGACAAGTATTCAATCAATGAACTAGTGAGTGAATAAATGAGTCCTTGCAGTCACACTGAGTGTGACTGGGTTGTCCTGTGGTGCATCCATGGCGGGAGAGGGGGCGGCTCCCACTGGCTCCTTGCTCTTTCCTTTCTCCTTTGATCCATAGAAACCTCTCCCCTAGCTGCACAGCACACCTGATCCCAGTATGCTTCCCAGGGGGGGCCACTCTCTGATCTCTTCATGGATCTCCCTGCCATTCACTCTCTCCAGGGCAGACCAAGGAACCTTCAAACCACCATGCTCCCCCGCTGAGAACAAAAGGGACCGGCCAGGTCTGGGCCATTCTTAGAGTGTTCATTCCACAGAGCTGGAGAGATGGCTCAGCGGTTATGAGCCCTGGCTACTCTTCCAGATAATGTGGGTTCAATTCCCAGCTCCCATATGGAGGCTCGCAACCATTTGTAACTAAGGTCCCCAGAGATCCAAGATTCCCCTTTCTGGCCTCTGCAGACACCAGACATACATGTGTTGAACAGACATACATGCAAGTAAAATATTCATACATATAGAATATGATAACAACAACAATAATAATAATGTTTTAATCTTAATTTTGTTTTAAATTGTCCTTATAGGCGTTGCAGATGTGGCTGCTATGTCACATGTGTATCTGTAGGTGGCAGAGAAGAGAGAGGCTATGTCTTCATTCAGTGTTCTGACCTATGAACATCTGAAGTAGCCTAACATTCCCTGAAAAGAGCAAGCCCGACACAAGCACCAGAGACCAGCCCTGTGCAGACCAGGATGGGCTCTCAGAGCAGGGGTCCAGCTGGAGACTAAAAGAACCTCACTTGGTACAGCAGGCCCCAGGTAAGAGTAAGCCCAAGACAGACAACAGTCATATGGGGTCACTCAGGCAGGCCTGGGTGAGGAGTGAGCCTGAAATGGCTTCCAGACCAGTGCCATGGGGCCCCGGCTAGGAGCTAGCCTGAGATGACCACAAGTCAGACACCGTGCAGGCCTGAGGGGGCAGACCATGCCCGAGATGACCATACTCAATGCCATAATGCACACAAGTGGGGCATAGCACTCTTGAGATGACGTCAGACACTCAGAGATCCCAGGCACCATCAAGAGGAGGAAATAAGTGGAGGAGAAATTGAAGAGAAAGATAAACAGAAGGATGTGTGCATGACAAAGAGAGGCAGAACTGGAGACTTTAGGGTAGTGAGGAACAGTCTGATGTGAGGAACCAGTGATGCCACCTGAGACCAGGGTGGGGTCCTGGCCTGTGCTGCCACTGGGAACCACATTTGGGTCCATGACCTTGCAGCAGCAGGGATCTGTTACCACCAAAGGCCAGACAGACTTCTTTGGTCTTGTCTGCCACCAGGGGACTCATTAATGTCTGAGGGCTGTGTAGAACTGGCCCCACCTGTCACCTGGACATTGTGGGAGACCTGACCCTGGGAGCAGGAGAGCAGGAGCGCTGACCCCTCCCCCAGCCACACGCAGTACTTAAGGTGAGCAGCGCACATTTCAGGAACTGCAGTGAAGCCAGCCCCAAGAGTATGAGCGTGGTCTCCCTTACCACCCGCAGCAGGTGGGGGACCTGGCCCTGATGGGGTCATGAGAGCCAAGAGCTGCCCCTGCCCCTCACCTGCTACAGCACTCAGGACAGCAGGCCCTGCACCTCAGTGGGCAGCACAGTCGAGCTGAACCTGATGGTGGGCGCACAGGTGGACCAGCCCTAGGGTGTGAGCACAGGAGAGCTGGCTCTGCAATTTGTCTGCCATGCAGCATCATGGGTGAGGGAGAGATGTCCTCCCCTATCCTTGCCCCTTACCACCTGTGGCAGGCAGGAAAGCTGTCCCTGCCCCTCACCTGCTGGTAGCACTCAGGAGAGGGGTCCCTGAACCTTGCCTAGGCATCACAATTGAGCTGGCCCTGGATGTAGGGGGTTGCAGGTGAGCTGGCCCTGAGGGTGTGAGTGCAGGAGAGCCCTCCCTGCTTCTTGTCTACTGGGAGGTGGTGCTGATGAGGGAGAGATGTCCCCTCCCCTCCCTCATCCTCACCACCTATTGCAGGTAGGAGAGCTGTCCCTGGGGTCATGAAATTGGAAGAACAGCCTCTGTCCCTCACCAGCAGCAATACTCGGGAGAACAGGACGTGCAGCTCACCTGGGCAGCAGGGTAGAACTGGCCCTGGTTGCTGGGGTTGCAGATGAACCAGCCCCAAAAGCAGGAGAGCAGGAGCGCTGACAGGCTCAGATAACACTTCGGCCCAGATCCAGGGCTTTGAGTTGATCCAACCTAACATCTTCCCTTACGATGAACAGCTGGAGTGCATGAAGGGGCCGGCCCCTCAGATCCAAAACTACAGGATCTCCATGACACAGGTCAACAATAGGATATCAGAGAGGAGTCCAGTGGGGATCCAGGACTGATAGAGTAGCAGAAGCCAGAGGCCTCATACCAGACCAATGAGTCATTGCAATGGACATTTGCAAGCAAAGAAGTGTGGACAAAAGGGTGTACTGAGGGACACACAGACACACTATAGCTTCCACCATGAGGTTTGTTTTTGTTGGTGGGGAAGTTGCAAGGGTGGAGGGTGGGCATGAGGAGATAGGGAGATAAGTGGGGGGTTCATGATGTGAAAGTCGCAAAGGACCAATACAAAGTTGCAATTTTTGTTTTACAACTTTTATTCCACTGGGTAGCACTGAGGCCGGAGTACTGGGAATTCAGTGCCTTTCCGTGAAGACGTTAGACGACAGCGGTGGAGAGAATCTGAAGACAGACCCACAGGCTCTCAGATCTACACGGAATTAGAATGTGACAGAATGGAATATCAGCAGAATCCTGCCCCCATTGAATGCCCTCTCCTCTGGCTATGAGCACAGCCTGCGTCCCTTCTCTTTCGCTCCCCGCATCTTTCTGTCCACTCCCCCGTCATTGCCTCAAACGTGCTGCCTTGTCCCCACAGCAGGACTTTTTCTCTTGCCGCCACCTGCCTGGTCTGCTGCTTTCTCACCCAGTCACCTGCTGCAAGAGATGTCTCTCCTGGCAGGTCACCTCACCGCCGCCTCTCATCGTTGTGACTTTACACACAGCCTGACTGTTGTGTGTTCCTGGATTGTGATCATTGTCTGTTTCCCTGTGACAGGGTAAGGGCCCTTCCCACCATCCGACTCTTTCCATTGACTTTCCAGGTCTTTGACAAAATATCGGAACAAAAAGCAATTCTAAGTTACAATCCATCGCTGCTGGGAAATCAAGGCGGGAACCGGAACCAGCAGTTACGTCATAACCGGTCGAGAACAGAAAGCAATCGATTCGTGCAGGTTTGAGCTCAGCTCAATTTCTCTGCTGGAATACAGCCCATTTTGGGGCTGGGTCTTCCCACATTAACAAAGGATTCGAGACAATCAGCCACAGGAACTTGATCTAGACCTTCTCTCACTGAAACACTTTTCCCAGGTGATTCCACCTTGGGTCAAGTTGACAAAAGCACCACTCACCAAAGTGTCCCCAGGCTTGACACCCACGTTAGACGTCTATAAACAATGAACAAATGAATGAGTTTCTCCTCCTTGACGCCGTTGGCTCCTTGGCTGCACACTGCTTGGGCATTACTCCTTTCTGTTCCCTCAGGAGGCTCCGCTGCCTTAAATGTATTTATTGACACGTAGTCCAGGAAGATATTACCTTCAGCCTCTACTCTCAACCTCCAGTTGGGGGTTCCAGTTGTAAGGACCAAAACTGTCTCTAGAACGCCTGATCTGTCTAGGAAAACTCAGGTTTTAACTACTTCCCTTAGCCCCTTTAGTTGGTCCTCTGGTACATTTCTACTGTGTGACCAGCAGATGGCAGCAAAGACCGTCCTTCTGATAACCGCCTCTGCAAAGGGTTCCTGGTCCTGGACTGCTGCCAGTCTCTGGTGGGGCCTGCTGCCTAGACTCTGTGTTTACACTTCTCCTGAATAAACAGAAGATGTCCCAAGTCCTAGGTCCATGGACAGAGATGTGGGTGATGCAGGTGTTGGCAGGAAAGCATTGACTTGTTTTGGAATTCCAGGTCTCAGTTCGATTCCCATTGCAACCCTTTCCTTCCTGTGCCTCCAGGACAATTATCATAGGCTGCCGCTGACTGTTTCCTCATCTGTATCCTGAAGGATCTATCCCCATAGAGCTACACGTTTCCCATGCCTCTCTCCTCAATGTGTCAGCTCAGCGAGCAAGGCTGGTCCTACATTCGGTGCCCCTCACTCTTTTCAGTGTTTGTTGACTGACTGACTGACTGACTGACTGACTGGTGTGTAGAATGTATAGTAAGTGCTCACTGAGCATCAGCTGTGAAGATGATGTCACGATGGAGATGATGATGTCAAATGAGGGATGGCATGGTAACCATGATGTCATGGTGAATATGATGTAAGGGTGAAGATGTCGTGCCAAGGATGATGGTGTCATGGCTGAAGATTATAGTGCTCTGATAAAGTGGATGCCCTTCTGTGAGTGACAATGATGTCATGGAGATAGTAGTGTCATCGGGTTGTTTGAATGAGAATGGCCACTGTAGAATAGGTTTGAATATTTGATCCTTAGCAGATGGGACTGTTTGGGAAAGATTAGAAGGTGTAGCCATGTTGGAGGTGTGTCACTAGGGATGGACTTTGAGATTTCAAAGGTTCCATTTCCTGTTAGCTCTCTGTCTCCTTCTTTTGGGTAAAGATATAAGCATTCAGCAGATATAAGCATAGCAGGCAGTGCTATGACTGCCTGCCTGCCTGCCGCTGTGCTTTCTGCCGTCACGGTCACAAACGCTGAGTCTGTGAGCCCCAACTTTAACATGGTCGTGGTGTTTGGTCACAACAATAAGAAAGTAATTAAGACAGTCCTTAGGATGTTGATGTCACAGAAGGGCTATGTCATTGGTGACTATGGTGGTGTCACTTGATGACAATGTCTTGCAAGGATGGTGACATTGTAAGATATGACGCCATGATGCTGAGAACAGTGTTGTCATCTAGTAACACGCACCGACGGCCGTGAAATCCACTGGCAACTCCTGCAGCTTCTTCAGCCCAAGGATCCCCACCTCCCACCTCTGAGCTGCAGTTCCCAGTGACTCCTGCTAAGCACTGCCAAGCTCCACAGAGAGAGCTCCCTCCTCTCAGGCCAGCGAGGGCTGATACCTGGCCTTCAGGTTGGGCACGGACAGAGGTGACCATCCCAGGAGTAGACTGTGTTTTCAAGGGCTGTTCTTACTGGCTGTGGCTGCCACTTGCCCCTCTTCCTCTGAGGGTCTCCTGACAACCCTGGAGAAGTTCAGAGGACCAACACTGCCCAGCTGAGGGGTCCAGGGGGTCTCTAGCCTCTGGGATGCGTCTGCTAACATTTCCAAAGTGAGCCCCTAGCCCAGAAACTCCTTGTACCAGAAAACCTTTGCTCTAGAGAATTATCAGGACTCTTCCCAAGTCCTCCACTTCCCTCCTCCACCCCAACTCCCCTCTCTCACTTCCCCCTCCTCCACCCCCTCTGTTACCCCCTACTTCCCTCCTTCACCCTCTCCACTCCCTCCTCCACTGCCCTCCTCCTCCACCCTGTTCCCCCTCCATCCCCTCCTCCCCAAGCCCCTTCACTTCCTCCTTTACCCCCTCCCTCCACTTTTCCCTCCACTCTCCTCCCTCCCCCACCCCCTCTATTTGCACATACTGGCTAGGGTGACTCACTCCTTCCCTCCTTGGTGCTGGGACCCCAGAACTCTGACTTCTCCCTGGTGCTACCCACTGTGTCCTCTCTGTGTCCAGGTTGTGTGAAGCCCAAGGCAGCATCTTAGGTAGAAGGACCCCACACGACCCAGAGACACAGTGCTGACAGGCAGGATGACTCTTGAAAAGCCAAGCATGCCAGTGTCTCTGTGCACCTTCGCACAAGTTAACCGACCTCTCTGATCCACCTAGCATCTTCTCACAAAGAAGAGAAGCTGATCCAGAGGGCAGGGTTAAGGACAAAATGAAGCCAGAGGAGGCGCAGAGTGAGGCAGAGATGCAAAACTGCCGGGTGACTAGGATAGGCGTTTATTTCAGGTGATATGGGTTCCACACTCCCTCTCCACTTCTGGTCCACCAGAGGCACACACATGCTCACATCACAGCAGAATGGGCTGCCCAGAGAGCACAAAGACAGCAGCCAGGGAGCGCTCATCCACAGCTGGCCACTATTGGCCCTATCAGTGATATTTGAGGAAGAAAAGGTTGCCATCCACCGAGATGGGTCCAAAAGGCCCTACTGGGTTGGCCAAACTCAGATGACTTGGTCCTGCCTCTGGCTCAGGCTGAGCACACGTGCAGCTGCCAGGAAGACCACCCCAGTGAGCAGCTCAGAGACAAAGCTAATCCAGCCGAGGGCCAGGGACCAGCCAAAGCGTATGTCCACCTGATCCAACAGGGTCCTCTCCTCCAAGAGGCATACTGCCTCTCGGAAGGCGGCCGCTGAATAGGCAATGTAGATGCTGATTCCAGTGAGGGTCACCATGGCTGCAGGAAAAGACCGGGACAGTCATTCAGAACCTCCTGGCCTGCCCCTCCTCCTTCTTCCTCCTCCCCCTCCTCTTCTTCCTCCTCTTCCTCCTCCATCCAGTTCCCTCCTCCACCTCTCCCTCTTCTCTCCTCTACCCCCTCAGCTTCCTTTCTCCCTCTTCTTTCAACTCCTCTTCCTCTCGCCTCCTTCTCCCTCCTCCCCTGCCTCCTTCTATCTACTTTGTGAATGAGAAATCCTGGAAAGAAGCTTTGTCTGCAAAGGTTGATTGACTAGACTTCAGTGATGTAGAGGGTTGTCCCAATCGAGGGCCTTAGAGGGCTGTCAGAGAGCGAGCGAGCCCTAGAGCAGCCTTCTCCCCATCTTACTATAACACACGCACCCAAGTGTACCCACCAATGGATTTGAAAAGTGTCTTCACCTATGGCTTTCTTTATTCTGTGCTATAAAACATTCCATGAATTTCTACTTCATTGAAACATGATGTTTGTGGAGTCTGGAGACCTGAATCTATGTTCCCAGGCCATGATCACTAATATTCAACTCCAGAAAGAAAAAGAAAAAAACCTTCTATTCTATTGACGTAAGAGCTGGGTTTTCTTCCCATACACCTCCTTCTCTTCTTCCCCCTGCCAAATCCTCCTCCCCCGACCTTCCTCTCCCTCCCCTGTCTCCCTCATTTCCTCCCCCCTCTCCTCTTTCTTCTCTCCTCTTCCATTTTCCCTCTGTTGTACAAGACTGTCCTCCCAGCCAAACTGCTGCTAACATCAGGAGTTCTGCTGGGCCTAATTCCAAAAGATCACCACAGCTGGGCTGGAGAGGGCAGGGAGGGTCTTAGGACTCTCACTTGAGTAGCTAGCCACCACCATTATATGCATTTCTACCCTAGTTTTTTGTGGACTTGGGGGAAGGGCTAGAGGAGATCAGAGGGGAGAAGGAGAGGGTTGAGCTTTGTCTACACAACTACAGGGAGTCATCACACATACTGGGTAGGTGCAGGCCTTCCAGTGTAGCTGCTCTAAGGTCATCTGTACCACTGCCTGTAACCCCTCACCCACTGCTCTGTAAGTAAGCCTCATAAACTCATAGTTTCCCCTGGTGAACATCGTTGAATCATACCTCATTGGAACCCGAGGAGGAAAAGATGTGGTTTACATCTTTTCTAGGGAGAAATTTTAGCAACATCCTCCTGTCTACACACACACACACACACACACACACACACACACACACACCTACCTTTACCTTCCCTTTTCCTTTCTCCCTATCTCCTCTCCCCTTACCTATTTCTCTTCCCAGCCAAGGGTCTCCCATCACTCCCCCTGTCTGTAGGATGTCTGTAGGTTTTTGCTGAGCCTGACCCCTGCCTGCTGCAGCCCCCTCTACTCCCTCATACCAGAGGGAACATTTCCTAGTCCTGGCTAGTTCTGTCTGAACTTGCGTAGGACACACCCCTGTGACTTCATAGCCTTATAGCCAGGGTCACAGTTGCAGCTTTCCCTTTGGGTCTCTCTTCAGACTGGGAGTCCTGGAAAGTCCTATCCAAGCCTCTTTCCCCTGACACCTACTGTGCCGGCACACAATAGGTCTCCATAAGATATTGATTCATTGCTAGATGATCCAGGATGGTGGCAACTGGCCACACCTGAGTTTTGTTATTTTGTTTCAGTTGTGTAGTGTAGGACCTTGCTCATGCTAAGCAGATGCTCTTACCCGGCTTCTGTCTTCCAGCCCTTTTGTGGCCTTTCACTTTGAAGTATCATTAAATGAATAACTCAGTCCTTTGATGGTGCCAGCCATACAAGCTGGTTTGTGCCTCCAGATCAGAGCGGGCCACCATCAGAGTCTTACCTGAGGGTACCGATGTGAGAATTAGCTGCTGAGTGAACCACCATAGCCAAGGCCATGAATAACCACGGGAAGACAATGCTTCACCTTATCTGTACCTTCCTTGATTTTCCTCCTTTAGAGTTCTCTAGAAATCATCTTTCTCATGTGTGAGTGCCTGTGTGTGTGCATGCATGTGTGTGTGCTTGCATGTGCTTGTGTGATGTGTACATGTGTCAAGAGGACATCCTGTCTGTCGCTCACCACCTAATCCCCTTGAGACAGGATCTCTCACTATCTTGGAGCCAAACTTGCAGTCAGCTCCCTGTCTCTACTCTTGACCACTGGGGCTATATGTGTTCTTACAACCATGCCTGCATTGTTCCATGGTTTGGGGGATCTGAACCTGGGTTCTCTTGCTTACAGGCTGAGCTATCTCCTAGGCCTCTGTCTTTCTTTCTCTTGTTTTAATGCAGGGAGCCAGAGAGCAACCATCTGGGGTGTGGGTCCCACTTTCCCAAAACCTATAGCCAGCCATGTAAACAGAACTGCCTCAGCCAGTGTCTGCCTGCCTGGCTTTTGTTTGGATGTGGTTGATTTTGTTTGGTTTGGTGAGGTTTGGTTTAAGTATGGGTTTGGGTTTTTGGAGGTGTGGTTCATATTTGGATTTGAGAAGCACGGTTTGATCTGGTATTGTTCTCTGTTTGTAAGAATTACATTGTATGGTATTATCTGGATTGCAGCTTGAGATCATCACTCTCCTGGGTGTTGCGATAATAGTGTGTACCACCATGTCCTAATGTGTGTCACCTTCTCACAGTGCATTTTCACAGTGTGATGCACACGGCTGTGACATGTGTGCATGGCGTAGCTTAAGAAGCTGTTGAATACATGGGTCATCTTACACAGCTTCTTTTTATAGTGAAACACATAAAATCTACTCTCTGAACCACATTCAAGTGCAGGGCATTTAGGTACATGGTCTGTAGATGCTTACTGTAATCGAGAGAATGGGCAATAGGTCCCTGAACTTATTACACCTGCTAAATGAAGCTGAGAGCCATTCAACCAGCATATCCTCAGACCCATCTGAAGTTTCTACTTGTGGTTCTGTTCTGTCTCACCGTGAGCTCTGCTTACTGAGAACCTGCAGCCAAGTGAAGCCATGTGCAACGTGTCCTTCTGTGCCTGGTCAGTCTGATTTCCCACAACAGAATTGCTACTCCAGCAGAAGGCAGCAAAGGCAGCAGGTGCCAGGGTCTCTTGTCAGCCCACAGCTCTAAACTGGAAGCCAAGGCCATCATGAGAGACCAGACAGAGGTGGCAGACACAGCTTTGAAGCAAGATGTTGGAGTTGACTCCTAAGGCTATGCCCTGCCCCCTACTTCTCTTCCTTCCATGAAACCAGAGATCTGGGGAGCTTAAGGCTGAAAACCACTGCCCCTTCCAGCTGCTGTCACAATCTGGGCAGAGAAGGTCCTTAGAGAACCTGAGTCCTGCCCCTAAAGAGTGTTACGGCACAGTACTCATCAGTACAACTGTAGAACCTAGGCTTGGGGCAGATGTACACCTACCTCCAAAGAGAAAGAGGGTCCCAGTGAGCAGCAGCAGGAGGTGAGCTCGGAGGAGGAGGCTCAGGAACCCGGTCATCCCCCCAAACACCATCACGATCAGACTGAGTGGCAACAAGATCACAAATGTCCCATGCATAGCTAAGGAGAAGAGGGGAACAGGCACGGGGGTTACTAGTATCTAGCATCCAATCGTTTGCATATGCTCACCACGTACCCACAATAGTAGGACTACACTACTTCCAATGGTAATTAAGAACAGGGGAGACTTCTGAACGCTGGGTCTGAACTGTGAGCATCTTTGCACTTACTCTCTGTAACCCCTGGAGGGCAGTGTTGTATCATTTACTTATTCTCTCAGCGCAGACTCAAGAGCCTGCTACTCTAATGGGTATGCAAATGAACGAATAAGTATGAGATAAACACCACTAGAGTTCCTGAAAAATTTAATTCCCTTCTAGCTGAGGACAGTGTTAAGTGGGTGAGCAGGTGAGTGAATGGGCAGAGGCAGTGAAGAAAGGACAGCGTATAAAACCCCCATGTCTGGGGCTGGAGAGATGGCTCAGCGGTTTAGAGCACCTGTTGCTCTTGCAGGGGACCTAGGTTTGAGTCCCAGCTGTGAGAAATTAATTAATTTTTAAAAACGTACAAAGCCAGACGTGGTGGCACACTCCTTTAATCCCACCACTAGGGAGGCAGAAGCAGGTGAATCTCTGTGAGTTCAAGGCCAGCCTGGTCTACAAAGTGAGTTCCGGGACAGCCAGGGCTGTTACACAGAGAAACTCTGTCTTGAAAGACAAGAACAAAACAAAACCCTATACCCATATTCTGCTTCTACCTAGCCCTGTCCCAAAATTACAGACACATCATAAATTTAAGGCACATGACTCATTTTATACTGGGAGGGGAGCATGGATCTAATCTCATCCCATACCCTAAAAGTAACTACACACCCGAAATCCTTGCTGATCTTAATAATAAAATATTAATGCAATACAGGGGCCAGAGAGATGGCTCCATGGGCAAAAGCACTGGCCACATCAGCCTGAAGATGGAAGGAGAAAGCTAACTCTACAAAGTTGTCCTCAGGTCTCTCCCTGTGGGCTGTGCTACACCTGCCTACACACTATACACAGCAATGAACAAGATTTTAAAACTGTCATACGATCAGTCTCTGACCATGATCTAGGGGCTTGACTGTAAAAATAGTACAGACTGGGTGGAAATTGCCCCTTCAATTTTGATCTTTCATGAGGGTGCTAGAGAGTCAAACCCAGATTCTCACCCTTGTATCACAAACTCTTTACTCTCTAAGCCATCTCCTCAGCCCCTCCCCCCAGGACATATTAAATTCAGCAGATGAATAGATGCTGTCTGCTAGGAGCCCCTCTCCATGGTCCAGAGACGAAGATAAAGCTCACAGACTGGACCCCCTGTGCATGAGCTGACAGACTGCACACAGGTATTAGCATGAAGATCATAGTGCGTCTAAGAGCCACACAATCCTCAAAAGCCATTAAATCAACAAACTCAACCACCAGGAACACACCAACACTGAGAGAAACTGGAACACGAGTATCCCTCAGTTGTCTCAGGATCAGGCAAGCACCGGCTGCCCACGCTCACATCCCCAGGGCTCCAGTGTCTGTTCTAACATCTGAAAGCCCAGAGGCCATAACAAGCTAGGGGTGTGGGTGTAGGTTTGCAAACCTCGGTTTTCTCATCTGTCAAATGGAGAGCCAACAAATAGCCCATCCTTTGAACCTGTGAGTTGAGGACTCAGTACATGAAAGGAAAAAACAATTATGGAGGGGTTGAGGAGATGGTTCTGTCTACTAAGCACCTGTTGTACAGACATAGGGACTTGAGTTTGAAACCTTAGCACTTGGGAAAGTGGGGTGCCACAGCAGCATCTGTAACTCCAGTGCTAGGGATGTGGAAAGATGGATTTGCTTTTTGTTTGTTTTGATTCGAAAGACGGTTTCTCTGTGTATCCTGGCTGTCTTGGAACTCACTCTGTAGACCAGGCTGGCCTGGAACTCACTCTGTAGACCAGGCTGGCCTGGAACTCAGACATTTCACTGCCTCTGCCTCCTGAGGACTGAGATTAAAGGCGCAGTATAAAAGCTCCAGGGATGGTTCTGGGGATGTGGCTCTGTACACTGCCTGCCTATCGTTCAGGAAGCCCTGTGTTCCAAACCCAGAAACAAGTAAAACCAGGCATGGTTCTCAAAAATAATTTTAAGGGGTGTGTTTGGCACACTGAAGAGTGAGCCAGATTTGATTCCAAGCACCCAAGTGGAAACTAACAACTGTTTGTAACTTCAGTTCTAAGGGGGCCCAACATCCTCTTCTGGCCTTCATGGGCACTGCACACAGGGGTGCACAGACGTAACACACATACACATGTAATACTAATAATACTACTAATAATAAATATCTCCAAAACAATTTATTTAAACCAGGTATTGTGGTGCATGCTTATAATCCCAGTAGTTGGGAAGTAGAGGCAGAAGAATCAAAAATTCAAGGTCACCCTCAGCTACACAGTGCATGCTTGGCCAGATTGGGTTACTCGAGACCCTGTCAAACCAAAAAGCACCAGGGATTTATTTGCTAAGCTTTAGAGTCAAGGTATTTGAAGTCATGGTCTTTGTCCCCACTGCAGGGGGTGGCCCTGCCTCTCAGCAGCCACTTTGGGGGCAGCAGGCAGCAGCGTTGGCTTAGGCTGCTTCACTTCAGCTTGGCTCTGTCAGGAGAACATCAGGATCTGAGGCCTGGAGTGAGGTCTGAGGTGGGTGGAAGCGTGCCTTCCAAGGACACTGTGGGAGCCTGGTCTCTGCTTACATCCTGGCTGTGGAGGGAGCAGTTTTGTTCAGCCAAGTGTCCTCACCACATTGTGTCACCACAGCCCCAAAGTGATGGACCCGACTGAGAGCAGCACAGTGCGACCTTTGAGTCCATGAGCAAAAATAAACTTTCTGGGCTCAGGAGTCAATCAAGGCAGGTGTCCTAATAAGGGAACACTGGCTAATCCAGCTGAGGGACGGCAGCAAACAGCAGCACACGGCCTGTAACACTGTGTAACCGGCACGTCCATTCCTCTGTGCAGCTTAATGTTCTAGGTATATTAATCTTTTCTTCTTACAGGCTCCATAATTTTCCTTAACGCTGTCTATACACATAAATGTCTAAACATCCTCCATTCAACCCGCTGAGGCTTTTCCCCGTGGCTCCAAACAAGCATGGTAAACCTCATCCTAGAAACATCACAGAGCTCCTACACGTGGAGTCGACGTTGTAGGATTTTTAAACATGGGATTGGCTTTCCATAGACACCCCAGAAAAGCTGCCTTCATACCCAAGCCTTCACACTCCCAAGGAGTTGAGGCCCTGCCTTAGTCAGTTTTCCGTTGCTGTGGCAAAACATCTGAGGGAGAGAAAAATAAAAAGAAGAAAGGTTGCTTTGGGCTCAGAGTTTCTGATGCTTCGGTCTGTGCTCACCGGGCTTCCTGGCTCTCAGGCTGGTGATGACAGACATGCCATATCAGATATCAGAGAGCTACTCGTCTCTAGGCAGCCAAGAAGAGATGGGGGTGGGCATAGGGAGGTCAAGGACACAGTACTTCTCAGCCGCTTCCTCCAACCCTTTGCTCCTAAAGCTCACCAGCTCAGACTCCACAGATTCAGCCATGGATGCAGCCAGTGTCACCCGGTGACCGCTCTCTGCCCTCGACACTCAGTGACCTCTCCACTGACCAAGACTGTGAGAGGAGATTCCATATCCAAAGCAGGACAGACCGTGGGGCTATGGCCTCGATACCTCTCTGCACCCCACCTTGTCTGCAGCACTACTCTGAGGAAATCACACATTATTTCCCGGCTATGCCCAGAGCTTCTCAACGTTGCGGGTTTTATGTCCCCTCTGGTTCTGCCCCACGCTTCCATCCTCATTTCACACCCAGCCTCATTTTAATTTTCCACACGACTGCAGCCCGTGCATCCCGAATGCCGGGAAACCCGGTCTGGCGATTTCCTCCCCGCCCCCACCTCATCTTCTCAGAGATAGTCAGGCCAGGCCCCCAGCCTCAGTCAGCCTCTGCTGCCAGCCTGTTTTGCTAGGAAAAGCATTTGACCCTCTGAGTCCTCCTCTGACCAACTTCATCATGGTCACCTACTCAGAAGAGACACAGCTGAAAACGGATCTGGAAAGACCAGGCGTGCCTCTGAGAAGCATAAGCCCACCCTCCAGAACCGTGAGACTTCTGGCTGTTTCTGGAACACACTGACCCAATCCTCATCAAAGTCTTCTGCCTGAGGCAGAATAGCCTGAAACTCTGGCCGCGTGTGTGTGTGTGTGTGTGTGTGTGTGTGTGTGTGTGTGTGTGTGTGTTTACATGTTTCTGCATGTACAAGTCTGAGTGAACCTGTGTGCTGTACCCATAGAGGTCAGAGGTCAACCACAGGAGTCATTTCTAAGGACTCTGTTTGGGTTTCAAGACAGAGTCCCTAGCTGGCCTGGAACTCACCGTTCATCTGTCTAGACAAAGAACCTCGGATCCACCTGTCTCTTGACCATCCACCTACTAATACTGGGGTGACAAGCATGGGACATACCTGATGTTTTTTTTTTTCAGGGGGCTTATGAATTTTGGTTTGGTTTAGTTTTGGCTGTTGTTTAGACTGGGTTTTGTAGGTTCTAGGTATCGAACTTGGGTCCTCATGCTTTCACGGCAGGCCAGTTCCCCAGGCCTATTGTCTTGTATGTCCATTGCACTAAAATGTGCACAGCATCATTCCAACAGAGGGGAAGTAAACTGCCAGGGTTCAAGTTCCCAACCTGCCAGCTATTTCACAAAGGTAACTCACCGCCCCCTGTGTACCATGTTTTCTCACCTACAACGCTGAGTATGATAACAATAAGGATATTGATAGAGGCTTGCTGTGGTGGAGATTAAATCAGTTGATATGTTTAAAGAGATAAGACCAGTGTTTGACCAGAGAAGCCAGTACCTCACAATATTCAATGCCAAACAGATAGTCCTGTGCTAGTGTAAAATAAATACATACTAAATAAATCAGTGGATTAGGATGGGGAAATGGCTTAGGGGAGAGATGCTTGCTATGCAACTGTGAGGGCC